CTGAGTTAATCAATCAGTCTGCTTGGAGTTCACACCCCCAAGTCAAAGGTGCACACAATGTATAAACATAAGCTTTCTGTAGATAAGCTGAGTCCACTCTGCTTTGGCATCTTGTAAAATATTGAATAAATTCTAACTTGATAGGTAATTATTTTACATTTGATTAATTTCTATAGTCTGYTTGCTTTCAAATATTCTCTTATGTAAGATGCAGCTGCCATTTCTAAGCTTTCTGTTAGGCTTCTGTTTCTAAGGTCATTCCTACCTGGACATAAGAGGATACTGTAGATTTTCATTGTGTTACAGTATAAGTAGACTATAAAATGTTTAGTTACCAACTGCATCATTAAATACAAATCTTAGAGAACAAACACTTCTCTGTGTCAAAAAAGTTTTTACATCTGTCTATTCTTACCAAGYGGATAACATTAAAAAATACACATAAGCCAAACGAGCCATGGCATTTTTAAAAGCCGTGTCAATAAACAGCAGCATGTGGCCTCTCAAGTGCCACTAACTGTGGGGGAAGAAATTTTAAGATGAATTCAACAAGAAAGTATTTAGAGGAAGAAAACTGAACCAAACATTAGAGCTACCAGGTCCCAAAAAGAGTAGCTTTTTTTAACTGAAACTATTCAAACTTTGGCCTAATTGTGTCTACTCGATACAGTCCTGCCCCTGGCACCCCTAATGTCCATGACCACTTCCCTTTGACAAATATTCGTCCTCCATTCATTTTAGTATGAACAGAAGTGTGCTGAAACCGAAACTTTCAGAGGTTCCTTACAGGATCAAAATTGGATGCCTACAAACAGTTCAGACTTTATGCTGCTCAGTATGCATGTCGACACATGTACAGTGTGTTGTAACTCAGGTCCAGTGACATAGGGTAATATACAGTAGTGACAGTGTAGTCTACAAGGCAGTAAGTTTGGGAGAGCAACCACAGAACGGTTAGGAATAACATCCTAGCATAAAACCACAAAGTCACAAAAATGTTCTTACTAAAATACCAACCAATGCAACAATGGTCCTAATATATATATA